GCTGTTCTGACAGGTGTAAGGTGGTATCTCATTGTGGTTTTGATTTGTATTTCCCTGATGGTGAGTGACGTTGAGCAACTTTTCATGTGTGTGTTGGCCATCTGGATATCTTCTTTGAAGAAATGTCTGTTCATGTCTTCTGCCCATTTTTCAATGGTGTCATTCGATTTTTGGGTGTGGAGCTGTATCAGTTCTTTGTATGTTTCCGATACTCACCCTTTATCAAATTTATCACTTGAAAATATCTCCTCCCATTCAGTAGATTGTCTTTTTTTTTTTTTATTATTATTTTTTTCAACGTTTATTTATTTTTGGGACAGAGAGAGACAGAGCATGAACGGGGGAGGGGCAGAGAGAGGGAGACACAGAATCGGAAACAGAGTCCAAGCTCTGAGCCATCAGCCCAGAGCCCTTCGCGGGGCTCGAACTCACAGACCGCGAGATCGTGACCTGGCTGAAGTCAGACGCTTAACCGACTGCGCCAAGTTTTCTTAATTTCATTTCTTTTCTTAATTTCAATCGGTTAAGATTGTTTTCTTAATTTCACATTCTGCCAGTTCATTATTAGTGGATAGGAACATAACAGATTTCTGTACGTTGATTTTGTATCCTGGGACCTCACTGAATTCATTCATCAGCTCTAGCAGTTTTTGGGAAGTCTGTCAGGTTTTCTATACATAGTATCATGTCACCTGCAAATAGCGACGCTTGACTTCTTCCTTGCTGATTTCGGTGCCTTTTATTTCTTTCTGTTGGCTGCTTGCTGTGGCTAGGACTTCCAATACTATGTTGGACAAAAGTGGCAAGAGTGGACATCCTGGTCTTTTTCTTGATCTTAAGGGAAACGCTCTCAGTTTTTCACCTTTGAGGCTGGTGTTGGCTATGGGTATTTTACATAAGGCCTTTATTACGTGGAGGTGTGTTCTCTCTAGACCTACTTTGCAGAGGTTTTTTTAATCATGAATGGATATTGTACTTTGTCAAATGCTTTTCCGCATCTATCGAAATGATCATATAGTTTTATCCTTTCTCTTATTGATATGACGTATCACGTTGATTATTTTGCAAATACTGAACCACCCTTTCACCCCAGGAATAAATCCCACTTGATTGTGGGGTGTATTATTTTTTAAATATATTGTTGCATTCAGTTGGCTAATATCTTGTTGAGGATTTTTTTTTACCTATATTCATGAAAGATATTGGCCTGTAGTTCCCTTTTTTGCTGGTGTCTTTATCTGGTTTTGGTATCAGGGTGATCTCTGGCCTCAAATGAACTTGGAAGTTTTCCTTCCTCTGGTGTTTAAGAATAGGTGTTAGGGGCGCCTGAGGGGCTCAGTCCGTGAAGCGTCTGACTTTGGCTCAGGTCATGATCGCACGGTCCGTGAGTTCGAGCCCCGCATCGGGCTCTGTGCTGACCGCTCAGAGTCTGGAGCCTGCTTCAGATTCTGTGTCTCCCTCTCTCTGCTCCTCTCCTGTTCATGCTCTGTCTCTGTTTCTCAACAATCAACAAACATTTAAAAAATTTTAAAAGAACACGTGCTAACTCTTCTTTAAATGTTTGGTTGAATTTGCCTGTGAAGCCATCTGGTTCTGATTTTCTGTTTTGGGGGGAGGTTTTTGATTACTGATTCAGTTTCACTGCTGGTTAGCAAGTTCTTTCTTGCCCTCTGAAACATCTCTCTGAGATAAAGGCAAAGTCTAGAGAGTCAGTAAAGAAAATTAGGGGTGCTGATAACTTTCTCTGCCTTGATACAGAGGCCCTTAATTTCCCATCATCGTCAGAAATTGTTTTGAGGCACTTGTCTGCAGCGGGCTCTGAGCTACCTGTCCCCCTCATTTCTCCTGCACAATGTGCCACTGGGCTTTGGGAAAGCCTTTCCTGGGTTTTTCTTTCTCCGCTTGTAAAATGGGCACGTGGATCTTTACCTGCCCTACCGCATAAAGCTGTTATTAGGTTACCTGGAATGCGCTCCAGTGCTCTGAGCTTTTTACAAAAAAATTTTTTTCCCTGTTTTCCTGTCGTACAAATTCTTGTGGGCTTGATACAAAAAAAAATGCATTCCCTCAGACATTTGTATTCAGTATTACTGAGCCCTTTGAAGCAGCCGTCAGCCTCACATAGCATGCGAAGATGCTTCTGGTGGTGTGGAAAATACCACCTTGGAAGCCAGAGAAATAAATGTCGGCATCAAGGGCATTGTTGTTGTTTTTAAGGAGAGAAAAATCTGTCCGTCGCGTGCTGCAAATAAACACCAGTAAGGTGACAATTTGTCACAAGAGGATTGATCACATTTAGTTACAGTAACCTGTACGGGGAGTCAAGATCCACATGCTTAGGGCTGCGGCACAGCATTTGGAACCCTGGAGGAGAAGTCAGGGTCTACAGACGTGATCGTGACAGTATTTACAGAGTAAAGGCAAGGCAAGACATGCTAGGGGTGTGTGTGTGTGCGCGCGCGCGTGTGTGATTTTTTTCTTTAGTCTTCCCAAGGAATAACGAATTCACTAATAAACCTATTACACAACCAATCCGAATGAATACGTACCTGCTGATACAAATTAGCAACAATAGTTGTTTACCTGTGTCTAGACCTTTACAGTTTACAAAGCATCTCAGTGTTTCTGCCAACAATTGAGTACACGAGAATTGATTTATGCGGTGATTTTTACCAATAGCCTAGTGGTCCTCACTCAGCCTTAGATACTCCAGAAGTGCTCTTGGTCTCTCTCTCTGTTTTTTTTTTTTAATTTTATTTTTTATTTTTTAAAATTTACATCCAAATTAGTTAGCATAGAGTGCAACCATGATTTCAGGAGTAGATTCCTTAGTGCCCCTGACCCATTTAGCCCATCCCCCCTCCCACAACCCCTCCAGTAACCCTGTTTGTCCTCCATATTTAAGAGTCTCTTCTATTTTGTCCCCCTCCCTGTTTTTATATTATTTTTGTTTCCCTTCCCTTATGTTCATCTGTTTTGTCTCTTAAAGTCCTCATATGAGTGAAGTCATATGATATTTGTCTTTCTCTGACTAATTTCACTTAGCATAATACCCTCCAGTTCCATCCACGTAGTTGCAAATGGCAAGATTTCATTCTTTTTGCTTGCCGAGTAATACTCCATTGGATATATAAACCACATCTTCTTTATCCATTCACCCATCAATGGACATTTGGGCTACTTCCATACTTTGGCTATTGTGGATGGTGCTGCTATAAACCTGGGGGTGCATGTGTCCCTTCGAAACAGCACACCTGTATCCTTTGGATAAATGCCTAGTAGTGCCATTGCTGGGTCGTAGGGTAGTTCTATTTTTAGTTTTTTGAGGAACCTCCATACTGTTTTCCACGGTGGCTGCACCAGCTTGCATTCCCATGGTCTCTATCTCTGTTGACTCAAACCTTTCCAGAAGAATATTGGACTAGCTTTCAAAGTTCCCAGTTGTCTCATGATTGTAGAGCCTGCATTTCTGACAACCCTGGAGTCAGTTCAGAATTAAACCCGGCTGCTGTATCTCTCTTCTGACACAGGATGTGGAAAGCTATCTGGCTGCAGGCAGGACCTTGCACTTGCCCATGTGTTTGGGCCCTGAGTATATACGGAGTTTCCAGCTAGCGATGAGGCGTCCCTCTGTGGACGTGTTCAAAGACAGGTATGCTATCCGCTTAGAGGTGATTACAGACAGGTATGAAAGATTGTCCTAGAGAACTATTTTATTATACAGCTTGACTGGCTGCCCATCAACCTGTTCTCTTCCTAGGTGTCAAACCAAATACCCTTCCCAACCTCCCTCGAGGCTTTCAACTTCTTTTTTATGAAGTCATTGAGATTTCTGTGTTTATTTGTTTTAGCAGCTAGCAGTTATTACCTTGCCTAATATGATAACCTTTAAGGTTCCATCTAATCCTGAGATTCTTGGATTCTAAATCTTGAGAGACAGCACTGTGTTATGATTACCTGTCCCTCTCTCACCACTTACAATTGATCCTTCCTGTGTTTTCTCTCCTGGTTTTCCACAGGATTTCCATTCCTTTTTTTTTTTTTTTAAGTTTGTTTATTTATTTTGAGAGAGACAGAGACAGTGCAAGTGGGAGAGGGGCAGAGAGAGAGGGAGAGGGAGAAAATCCCAAGCAGGCTCTGTGCTGCCAGCACAGAGCCCAATGTGGGGCTCGAACTCACAAAACTGTGAGGTCATGACCTGAGCCAAAACCAAGAGTCAGATGCTTAACCGACTGAGCCACCCAGGCGCCCCCTCTATTACTTTTTCAGCGTTTATTTATTTTTGGGACAGAGAGAGAGCATGAACGGGGGAGGGGCAGAGAGAGAGGGAGACACAGAATCGGAAACAGGCTCCAGGCTCCGAGCCATCAGCCCAGAGCCTGACGCGGGGCTCAAACCCACGGACCGCGAGATCGTGACCTGGCTGAAGTCGGACGCTCAACCGACTGCGCCACCCAGGCGCCCCATCCCCCTCTATTACTTTTGATCCTTATTGGGCTTTGGATTCACTCATGGGCAGGGAACTGGCTAGTGTTAGTAACTGGGCTCAAAAGCAAGCATGCTTCCTGGACACATTCAGCCTGCTGCTGGGTAGGCTGAGTACATGAGGCAAAGCCATGCATGGAAACAAGGGTGACACAGCCCCAGGATGTGGTAATGACAGATGACATTGGACCTGATGTGAAGATGGGGCAAGGGTGGTGGAATCAGTGGGACCACGGTGCCTGCCACGGGAGGCACCTGCAGACGCCCGCTGGCCTCTGCTTTCCCGAACAACACCACTGAAGCGGAGTTCTAGGGGCGCCTGGGGGGCTCAGTCGGTTGGGTGGCCGGCTTTGGCTCAGGTCATGATCTCGTGGTCAGTGAGTTCGAGCCCCGCGTCAGGCTCTGTGCTGACAGCTCGGAGCCTGGAGCCTGCTTCAGATTCTGTGTCTCCCTCTCTCTCTGCCCACCCCCCCGCCCCCCCCACCGGCCCACTCACACTCTGTGTCTCTCTCTTTCTCTCAAAAATAAATAGCCATTAAAAAAAATTTTTTTGAAGCAGAGTTCTAGTTCCCTACACATCCACTTGCTGAGAAGCCAAGTAAGCAAGCGCTAAATGACTCTAACGTTCCCTCCGGCGTTTCCAAGTGGATCCCTAATACCTTGTACAATCGTTAACTAATTAATAGAAGTGGAAGGTTCAGAACTTGGGAGAAGGACTTAATGAAAATTGTTTTGAATGGTAACTAATTATTGATAAGCCAAGGGAATCCGATCTAATTAGCATGAACCTCTTCCTGAGAAATCGGGTGTTGGGGTTTAGAACCAGTTTGAGGAGGGCTAGCTTTCCAAGGGAAAATCATCTCAAAGTGCATTTTGATGAAAATTTCTGTTTTTGTTTTGCAGCCTTTAAAAAAAATCATCATCATCATCATCATCATCATCATCATCATCAGATTTAGAATCTGAATGAAGGTGAGCATTCTGGCTTAAGAGATGGAAACCCTTGACCAACACCCCGATTCTTATTTTTAATGTATAGAATAGAGTATGATGAATAAGCCTGCTCAGCCTTTCATCCAGGGTGGTGTGTGTGTGTGTGTGTGTGTGTGTGTGTGTGTGTGTGTGGGAGAGGGAGGGAGAGATTTTATTTAAGACTTAGATACAATCATTTTTAATCACATAATATTTGTCAGTTACCCAATCAACACGTGATCATGTTCTAATACACAAATATGAATAGTGGAGTACTTTATTTAAAAGTGTGCATTATTGGGGCGCCTCGGTGGCTCAGTCAGTTAAGCGGCTGACTTTGGCTCAGGTCATGATCTCACAGTCTGTGAGTTCGAGCCCCAGGTCAGGTTCTCTGCTGTCAGCTCAGAGCCTAGAGACTTCTTTGGACTCTGTGTCTCCCTCTCTTTCTGCCTCTCTCTCTCTCTCTCTCAAAAAGAAAGAAACATTAAAAAAAACTTTTAAGTGTGCATTGTTTGAGGGGTGTCTGGATGGCTCAGTTGGTTAAGCGTTTGACTCTTGGTTTTGGCTCAGGTCTCACGGTTTTTGAGTTTGAACCCCGTGTTGGGCTCTGGGCTGACAGTGTGGAACCTGCTTGGGATTCTGTCTGCCCTGGCTCTATCTTGCTGCCTCTCAAAATAAATAAATAAACTGAAGCACCTGGGTGGCTCAGTCGGTTAAGCACCGACTTCAGCTCAGGTCATGATCTCGCGGTTTGTGAGTTCGAGCGCCGCGTCGGGCTCTGTGCTGACGGCTCAGAGCCTGGAGCCTGCTTTGGATTCTGGGTCTCCCTCTCTCTCTCTGCCCCTCCCCCACTCAGGCTCTGTCTCTCTCTGTCTCTCAAAAATGAATAAACGCTAAAAAATTTTTTTAAATAAATAAACAAATAAACTTTAAAAAAAAGTCTGCATTGTTCAAATATATTTATTCACCTGAAGCTTTTTAATAAAGTGCTTCCTATGTGGAATTCGATTATTTTAATTAGCCCTGAAGGTGAGGCAATTACTGGACTGTGACATATAGTATTTGAAGGTTTTTTCTCCCTCTTCATTTACTTTCTGATGTTGCATAAGCTACTCACAAATATCAGTTGCTGTTGACATCCAAACCAACAAATATATTTAGCACAACACAGCAGAGGCTGAAGCTTTTAATTAACCTTCAGGGACTGTTCTGAGATCATAGGTGTAAAAAGAAAAAAAAAATTAGAGGCAGGAAGTTCCCTGAGAAAGTGACACATCCATTTTCTCCTGACTTTGGGGCGTGTCACCACAGGGCAGGGCGACCTCTGACCCACCAATGTAAGGCGGGTCATGGGAAAAAAAACCCCATGCAATGACCCTGTCCTGCTAAGAATAGTAACATCCCCAAACTGTGTCAGCGTGATTAGTTTAGAATTCCAAAAACCCACAAGCCCCCCGCAAAGTTATGAGTTGTGCCACGTTCCCTCCTTCTTTCTGACACCTTCTCTTCACTCGGGGTCCCTTCCTCCCCTGCCCCAGGACCTGGTGCCCCCTTGCTGCTCCCTCCCTTCCTGGGGTGTGAAGAGGGTGCCCTGCCCTTGCAGGCCGCCCATAACCCCTCCCCCTCCCTCCCCTCCCCGGGCCCAGGCCCACCTGTTGGCCCACCCGTCCCTTGCACACCATCTAGACTCCTCTGCCTGCCTGTGTCAGATGCAAAACAAACCGCAAGGTAGGTTGAATGTGGAAAGCTTAATATGAAGATGTATTAACTACAACAGGGGAGGAGGTCACACGGAGGTAAAGAAACCCCTGCAAAACACCATAAGGCTAGTGGAGAGCACCGGTGGAAGAGCCGGGAAGGGGACTCCTCTCTTAGGCTGCGCTTCTGACGGCGCTGGAGAGGGTGCAGTCGCAACCTTCTGGGTGGGCAAGAAGGAGACACCCGTCTGCGGTGGAGGTGGGTGGAGGTCGGCAGGAGAGCTCACAGAAGGCAGAGGGGCGTCAGAAGCCTGCTCTCCAGCCGGGCAGTGCAAGGATTGGGGTGCTGGGTGCTACATCAGGAGCTCTGTGGCCAGGTGGTCACCATGGGCAACCAAGGGGCTGGATGGAGGCTGCTGGGTGTAGGACTGGGGCCAGCCACTGGGAGCCAGGCGGCCCCAGAGGAGACGAGACAGCAGCAGACGAGGAACCGCAAAGAGAAGATCCTTCCTCCTGCTGGACCCAGAGCTCTGTGCTGACACAGCTTGCATTTGCTGCGAACGAGAGCTGCTTACAGCTCCTTTTATCACAGAGCAGTTGAAGAAGCGAGGCGTTGAGGCTGAGAGCAACAGATCAACAGCCGGCCCCGGACCTTGACTGCTCCCCAGTCTGGCTTACGCGGCTTTACGAATTCTATTTCCCAGCACACACCCTCCAACTTTTCAGTTTGGCTGCTTAATCGTCTCTGTCCAAGTGCTGATCTTTCTGGCCTAGGGGGAGTGTTCTTCCTTCTCTCTTCTGACCAAACTCTACCCATTCCGTAGGTCTGGCTCAAGACCCCGCCAGGCAGCCATGAACCGTCTCCTAACTATTCTGTTATAGGTCAGTCAGTTCTGCCACATTTGATTCTTGTCATTTCCTGATTACCTCCCCAGTAAGACTGTAAGCTCTTTGAGAACAAGGACATTGTCTCTCTGGCCCCATTTTCTTTTCTTTTTTTTTTTTTTTCTTTAATGTTTTATTTATTTTTGACAGAGAGAGAGAGACAGAGCATGAGCGGGGGAGGGTCAGAGAGAGAGGGAGACACAGAATCCGAAACAGGCTCCAGGCTCTGAGCCATCGGCACAGAGCCCGATGCGGGGCTCGAACTCACAGACTGCGAGATCGTGACCTGAGCCGAAGTCGGACACTCAACCGACTGAGCCACCCAGGCGCCCCTCTGGCCCCATTTTCTATGGCGCCTGAAATAATGCTTTGTCCTCATAGACCCCTAATTGATATTATGCTGTGATTGATTGATGACCTGGAAATTTCAGGGTTGGGGATCTAGTCAGGGAATGCTTGGAGGTCTCTGGAAAAAAATTCAGCGTCCACTCCTTTCTGTCCTCATCCCCAAGACCCAGTCTGAGTGCTTATAAGAGATTGAGAGCCTCCTTGACATGCAGCCTTACTTCTTTTCTTCCTGGAATTAGGAAATACCATCATGGCAACCCACCCAGCTGCTAACAGCATGTAACTTCCTCGGTAATTCCGTGTACCAAGGGAAGGAGATGTAATGAGGTCACATTACAATGAAAATGATTTTTCATACTTTGACCTGAGTCTGGTTGCGAAAGAATGTCTTCCTCTCTTTATCGCTTTTAAGAAACAGAGTTGCTTTCATAATAGAGACTTATTTCTCAAGATGAAATACTAGAGATCATAAAGAGGTGGACAAAGAGAATGACCCGAGTGCTTTATAAGGGACACTTCATTGGATCGATGCTGTTTTGTCTTACTACTTTGTGTTCTCCCAAATGGCCAGTTAGTGATTCTCGAATCACTGTGATCTTAGCCTCAATAGCCAGGGCTAGGCTATATCAAAAGCTTTGGCCTGTGCAATGAGTCACTTGTTGTTTACCAAGCAAGACTCTTCTATCACTTTCCTTTTATATCCGAGCGCCATCTTCCCTGACTACCTCCTCCAACCATTAGACTGAGCTGATTTTCTTCTTTTGTATTTTCTTAGCATTAAAAAAAGAGAGAGAGAATACACATCACTACGTATGGTAATTGTTAGTTAATCCCTTGTCATTCTGGAATGTGCTCTCTTTAGCTACGTATCCCCAGGATGTAAACCAGTGACTTGCACATAGGAAATGCTCAATAAATATGACTTGAATGAACGGATGGTTGGTTGAATGATGAAGCAGTCTTGCTGCTTTGGGTGGCAAACATCAATCACCCAATTTGACCTCTTTTAACCAGACAAGAACATTTTTCAGCTCGTGTAGTCAGGAAGATCAAAGGGTACGGCTTCTGGCTTCAGGTAGGAGTGGACCCAGGGATTCAAATTCTGTCATCAGGACTCTTTCCTTCTTTCAGTATATCTTGGTTTCTGCTGACATGCAAATTTACCTCATTCTCAATGAAGATCTCTCCATACAGCCTGCCTAAATAAATAAACAAACACGTAAACAAATCCACTGAAGGTTCTGGCTCAGGGTTTCTCACTGTGGAGGTATTGACAGTTTGGAACTGGTAATCCTTTGTCGTGTGGGACTCTCCCATGCATTGCGGGACAGTTACCACCTCTAGCTTCCAGCCGTCAAATGACACGAGGGATTCCATAAAATGTGACCTATTAAATATGTCCCCCCTTTCCCACTTTCAAATACTCCTTAGGGAGATAATAGAGCCTCTGGTTGAGATTCCAAAGAAAATGGCTTGACTCCCTGTCACCTGTTTTCCATATTAGTTCTTGAGAAGGATTCTGATTGGCTCTGCTTAGGTTGTGTTTCTTCCCCTGGACCAATCACGGTGTTTGATGTATTGAGGAGTTTGTTATAATCTGATTGGCCAAGACATTAGTTACCTACTGGTGCACAGCAAATTATTCCAACCCTTCGCAGCTTCAAGCATTTGTTATCTCAAGTGATTTCGGTGGGACAGGAATCTGGGAGCAGCTTGGTAGTGTGGTTCTGACTCTGGGCCTCTCACAAGGAGGCAGTCAAGCTGTTGTCTTCCCAAGGCTCTTGGGGGGTTGGAGGATCCACTTCCAAGGGCACCCATGCGGTTGCTTGTAGGCCTCAGTTTCTTACTGGCTGTGGGCTCGCTGACCGAATGGCCTCTCCTTAGGCTGCATGAATGTCCTTTCCAAAGACAGCTGGTTTCACAGAGTGACTGATTGGAGAAAGAAGAGGAGAGGAAAGGAAGGGAGGGGAGGGGAAAGGGAGGGAGGGGAGGGGAGAGCCCAGTATCACACCGCAGTCTTTTATAACCTAATCTTGGGACTGACACACCATCCTTTCTGCCCTATTCTGTTGGTCACACAGACCAGCTCTGGTGCGCCGTGCCTGAGCCTACACCAGGGTATGAGCCCAGGAAGTAGGATCATTGGAGACCATTTGGAAGCTGCCTTCCTCTTCCTCAGACAACGAGGGTGCAGGGTGCGGACCACGCTCATTCCTGTGCCTGGAAGGCAGGATGACAGGAATGCCAGCCCTGGGGGATAGCTCAGCAGGCCGGGAGCTGCATTTCCCAAAAGGAAGTCCTGCGGTGTAAACAAAAAGTGGATAGATAGCTGCTACAAATGAATATTTAAATTCCCTGCGTCACCAACTCACTCAAGGCCGCACAGGTGCAGGTCTGGTGAAAACAGGGCTATGAATTATTTCTCTCTATCTCTAGATCACCCCTTGTCCCTTAAGAACATTTTTTTTTTTCCTGCTGCGGACTGATGTTTCCCGGTCAGCATTTATTTACGCGAAGGCACTCACAAGCGATTCAACTGCTGATTTATAAACAGGGCTTGTAGGTCTTGGGAGTAGACCAATATTTGAGTGTGCGTCTCTTGTATAAATTGTTCTGGCCGCTACTTGTTTCTCCAAAGTTCTCCTTTCTCTGGTGCTCTTTAATTCTTTTGAGTTATAGCAGAGAGAAAGCATCGGCTATCTCCTCCTGGTAGGTTTCCACCAGGAAGAGGTAGGGTGAGGGACTGGAGCAGCCCTGGGAACAGGTGCCACTGCACCCACTACGAGACACGAGATGACTATCCACAACTAGGCATTTGGATTCTGTGCGTTAAGATAGGCTTCCTGTAGGTGCGTTCCCCCAGAAACTACGTGGACTAAGTGAATGCCGTTTTCTCATTAGGGATTAATGGCGTCCGGAGGCAAGGTGATTTCCGAGACTTCGAGACTTCGGTCTTTGGTTGGAGTACCGCCGGCAGCTGAGCCATCCCGACACCCCACTGCTCTCAGTAACGAGAAGCCACTATTTGCCTTCTCGTCGCCCCGCCAGGAAGAAGCCTACCAGGTATCCTAGAACCCATCCCAGACAGCCGATGGAAGATTTGGCTCCCCCTCTCTCCAAGCTTTTGGAAAATAATCGTAGCACTGCAGAAAATGAGTGGCTCCTTTTTGAGATGGATTGAGAAGAAGCCTTGCTGAGGTTTAATCGCATAAACGGAGGCACGGCTTTCCCGCGCTCTCTCAACCGATGGAAACAAAGATGCTAAGTGTGAGGCTCTGTGTTCACGTATGCTTGATTTTGTATAAACCCTGCCTATCACATTGGGTACCTACCCATGGACAGTGAATGAGGAAGAAGATGCCTCCGACTTGGGGCAGCTCAGGAGATCACCAGGCAGAGACCAGCAATTATCAGGTCTCTGCACGGGGCGTCTAGAAGACAGGCAAATTCACGCAGCCCGGCCAAAGGGTGCGGATTTACGCACTGGCCTTTTCAGCTGGTCTTCAAAACTGATTAGACGTTTGAAAATGACACTCCTCCACATTTCGTTTGTTCCTGATAATTCTCACTCCTTGAACCGTCCAGGCAGCTCAACAGAGAAGGGTAGAGAAGGTGAAGAAAACCACTATCATCCGTAGATGCACGCTGTTCCCCTGCACAGGCGGAAGGGGAGAGAAGGGCAGAGCCACGCGGATTAAATAGGCTGTCTTATGCTGGGTCTCACCAGGCTTGATGTTTTCGGCTTACATCTGCAATACCCCGAATACAGCAGATCCCCCCTTATCCACCGAGGATACGTTTTAGGACCCCGAGTGGGTGCCTGAAATGGTGGCGAGCAAAATCACAGGTAGAGGGAGGGACTCCTGTATTTGGGTAACAAGTTATCTACGGCTAGCTGCAGTCAAACAATGAGGGTCATCCCCAAGGGTACTGAGAGAAGTTTCAGTTAACCTTGGTATCGTCGCTGGAGGAATGAATGGGATATGTGCGGCCCCCATCCGTGTCCGTGTTTCTCTCCTTACACGTAGGCGACGGCTGTTCTGGTGTCCCATGTTCCTGGCCCTGGTCCTCCCACTCCTGAGTGACCAACTGGCAGGGCTTGGGTAGAAAGGAGTGTGAGGCTGATAGTTAAAGGTAAGGTCTCTGGCTCTGGACATAGGCAGTCCTGGGTTGTTATTATTATTATTATTATTATTATTATTATTATTATTTAATTTAAATTGAAGTTAGTTACCCTACAGTATAGTCTTGGCTTCAGGAGTAGAACCCAGTGATTCATCTCTTACAAGTGATACCCAGCGCTCATCCCCACAAGTGCCCCCCTCAATGCCCATCACCCATCTAGCCCATCCCCCCAGCCACCTCCCTTCCAGTAACCCTCAATTTGTTTTCTGCATTTAAGAGTCTAATGGTTTGCCTCTCTGTTTGTATCTTATTTTTCCTTTCCTTCCCCTATGTTCACCTGTTGTGTGTCTTAAATTCCACATATGAGTGAAATCATATGATATCTGTCTTTCTCTGACTTTCTCTGTCTTCTTTTGCTTAGCATGGCACCCTCTAGTTCCATCCATGTTGTTGCAAATGGTAAGATTTCATTCTTTTTTTTTTTTAATTAAAAAAAATATTTATTTGTTTTTGGGAGACAGAGAGACAGAGCGCAAGCAGGGGAGGGGCAGAGGGAGAGGGAAACACAGAATCTGAAGCAGTCTCCAGGCTCTGAGCTCCGAGCTGTCAGCACAGAGCCTGACGTGGGGCTCGAACCCACAAAGCGTGAGATCACGACCTGGGCCGAAGTCAGACGCTTAACCGACTGAGCCACCCAAGCACCCCAGATTTCATTCTTTTTTTTTTTTATCATTGAGTAGTATTCCATTATTATGTATGTATATGTACACGTGTATGTACATACACGTATATACATTGCATCTTCTTTATCCACTCATCAGTAGATGGACATTTGGACTCTTTCGGTAATTTGGCTACTGTTGATAGGGCTACTATAAATATTGGGGTGCATGTACCCCTTCAAATCAGCATTTTTGTATCCTTGGGATAAATACCTAGTAGTACAATTGCTGGGTCATACAGCAATTCTGTTTTTAATTTTTTGAGGAACCTCCATACTGTTTCCCAGAATGGCTGCACCAGTTTGCATTCCCACCAGCAAAGCAAAAGAGATCCTCTCTCTCCGCATCCTCGCCAACATCTGTCATTGCCTGAGTTGTTCACGTGAGCCATTCTGACAGGTGTGAGGTGGTATCTCATTGTGGTTTTGATTTGTATTTCCCTGATGAGGAGTGACGTTGAGCATTGTTTCCTGTGTCTCTTGGCCATCTGGATGTCTTCTTTGGAGAAGTGTCTATTCATGTTTCCTGCCCATGTCTTCACTGGATTATTTGTTTTTTGGGTGTTCGATTTAGTAAGTTCTTTATAGATTTTGGATACTAACCCTTTATCTGCTATGTTATTTGAAAAATATCTTCTCCATTCTATTTGTTGTTTCCTTCGCTGTGCAGAAGCTTTTTATCTTGATGAGGTCCCAATAGTTCATTTTTGCTTTTATTTCCCTTGCCTCCAGAGACATGTCAAGTAGGAAGTTGCCGCGGCTGAAGTCAAAGAGGTTGTTGCCTGTTTTCTCCTGTAGGATTTTGTTTCCTGTCTCACATTGAGGTCTTTCATCCATTTTGAGTTTATTTTTGTGTCTGGTGTAAGAAAGTGGTCCAGGTTCATTCTTCTGCATGTCGCTGTCCAGTTTTCCCAGCACCGTTTGCTGAAGAGACTGTCTATTTCCAATGGATATTCTTTTCTGCTTTGTCAAAGATTACTCGGCCATATATGTGTGGGTCCATTTCTGGGTTCTCTGCTCTATTCCTTTGATCAATTGTGTCTGTTTTTGTGCCAATACCACAGACAGTCCTGGGTTCTACTTCTACCGGCTACGTGAGCTGGCACGAGTTACCTAACCTCGCTGGACTCTTTATGCTAACAATGGAGACAATCGTGGTACCTCTTTAACCCAGGGGGCTGCAGTGAGGACTAAGTCAGGGGATGCTGTGAATAGCATAGCTCAGGAAGGATCTACGCTTCTAGCACCTGGTGTGATTTTCTCCTCATAACACTGCCTTCCACAGCCCCAGGGGCTCCAGAGGACAGGGTGGCTGAGCAGGAGGGCCCTTAACTGCTTACAGGGCCCCCTTCCCTCCTTAGCTCTTAGGGCTCAAAATCCAGCCTCGCTGCTGTTGTTCAATCAGTCTTTGTAGGTTTTCTTTCCGGGAGGAGGAGTTTGGGATGTCCCATGGCCTCATCTTAGGGAGTCGGGGGGATCTCTGGCACAGCTTGTGGAACCACCTGCCACTGGCAGTTTTACTGGAAAAACTCCCACATGATCTTCCTGAGAAGGTTTGCTTCAGTGAAGCTTCATAAGGCTGAAGGCAGACAATTTAGCCCACCTTTTGAGCAGGTGGGTTTTTTTTCATTAAATTAAGATGTATTTATTTTTTTCTTTTACGAAAGAGAGGCTAATAATTGTGAAATGCAGCCTGTAAGGAGTAAACAAAATGTTTACTGTGTTTACTAAGTAAAAAATGTTCTGTGTTTACTAAGCCTCGCGTTCATTAATTTCCTACTCGGATTTTTCCCCCCTTTTTTAAAATGGAAAAATAATTGTGTTCATTTCTTCCTCCCTGGGAGACCTTAAGGGACCTTAATATTGGGTCCTCTGCTGTTTCTCTTCTTCCTAAAGCTCTGCTTCAATCACATCAAAACATTGCAGTCTCAGCTTTAAAACCCAGTTAGGAATGAAATAGGGCCAGAGTCAGGGACCTGCCTTCTCACTGCCTGGGGCCCCACAGATTAGGCAGGCTTTGCCTTAAACACCCAAATATTGGCACTGAGTGTTTTAGGCACAGAGCCTGGCACCACACGTGGGCCCGCGTCCAGCCCTGGCCCTGCCACACGGGAGCCCCGGTGTCCAACTGAGCTCACCTGTGACCTGGCTGACCGGGGGCAGGGGAACCCAGAGAACAGGCACACGGCCATTGCCACCCCGAGCTTCTGTCCTTCAGGAGAGGTGCAGGCACGGAACCAAGGCCATTGAAAACGCATTCCCAACAGCTGTTGGGAGTGAGGACCCCCGAAAATCGAGGAACGGTTGAGCGGCATAGCGGGGACTCCTTCTCTGGATGCTGAAGGTCCAGTAGATCCCTTGAAAGAAGTGTTTGGGGAGCTCTTCCTTTGCAATCATATTTGAGACTGAACTGGGGGGAAATCAGAGGCTGGGGAAGTGAAGGAATTGATTAGCATCGCAGAGCAGTCCGTAGGCCGTTGGCAGGCCTGTCTGTAGGTGCTTTGGCGGAGAGAGCCAGGGTCTGGCCGGCCGGGCCTGGCCCCGCAGCCACGCACCTAGCGGCCCAGCAGCTGGCGGCCCAGGTGCTGGGGGAGGCTGCGGTCCTCCAGAGTCTGCAGCATCCGGGGCCTTTGGAGCCCAGCACCCCGGACCCTGCTGAGAGGCCGACCCCAGCCCCCCATCCACTCCCCCGGCCCCAGAGCCGCCCTTTCCACCCACCCCTTGGCTTGCTTCCGCCCCATCTCTTCTGCTCTCTCCCATCTAGCAGAAGCTTCTGCTCCACCTTGCCTTCCCTGGGTAGCCAGCCACTGCGTTCTGGAAGCTGTGTGAAGGAAGCTTGCATGCGGCTTAGGACCTTTCCCAGGCAGGACGCTGGCCCCGCGCCTGTAATCAAAGACGGGTTCACATAGGGTTGTTGAATCCTGTCTACTTACTGATGGGCCTGGACTAAAGCTTTACCCAGGACTAAAGCTTAGCCATTGTTTAGGTCTTTCCGCTTCTGGAACATTTTCCTTCACTTCCTTCAGACAATGTCTAAATGACGCCACCAACTGGAGCAGTCCGGTCTCTGGCCCCGGCTAGGGTGAGCAAATGAATGATAGTGAAGGTAGCTTCTGGCGCCCACCCCGGGCATTTAATTCACTCGGGCGTCCGTGAGCTCACCTCTCAGGACCCGCACATTAGCGACCTAGAACTAATAACTTTCCTGGCAGAGGCAGAAGTGACAGCCCAGCTTGAACCCTTAGGTCACTCTTGCCGGCGTAGACGGCCTCCGATGCTTTACCACCGCATCTGGATACATCCAGGGTGCTGTGCCCGGCCTGAACGTGCCGAACAGTCTGGCCCCTGCTGCCTTTCCAGCTTCTTTCCCCCACCCCACCCGCCTACCCCACCTGCATGGAGCCTGTGTTCTTTTTTTTTTTTTTTTTTTTAATTTTTTTTTAACGTTTATTTATTTTTTTTGGGACAGAGAGAGACAGAGCATGAACGGGGGAGGGGCAGAGAGAGAGGGAGACACAGAATCGGAAACAGGCTCCAGGCTCTGAGCCATCAGCCCAGAGCCCGACGCGGGGCTCGAACTCACGGACCGCGAGATCGTGACCTGGCTGAAGTCGGACGCTTAACCGACTGCGCCACCCAGGCGCCCCAGGAGCCTGTGTTCTAAGAACACTGCGGCCACTCTGTCCACTTTCCTGGACCCCTCTGCATTTTCCCACTTCTGTGCCCTAACTGAAGCCATTCATTCACTGGAATGCCCTTCCCCCTTCCCTACCTATTGAAATCCCATTATTCTCCAGCGCACAACGCAAAAGCCATCTCCTTGAGAAAGCCTTCCGAGATTTCCCCGAGCCAGAAGCGAATCTGGGCTTTGTTGTGGCCTCTCGGGCTCTCAGCTCCTTGTCCATTTCAGGGTCAATTCCATCAGCCCTCACCTTTGGTGTGGGTCTTTAGCTTTCTGGACTGACTTTTGTTCCACAAACATCCACGGAAGGTCTTTGAGTTCCAACTGCTGTGTTAGATGCTGGCTGAATAAGGATGAATAAGACTGAAAGTGTCTTTGAGGAGGTAGAAAAATCCGGTGGACAGACAGGCAGGTCAACACCTCATTACAATGAAATGTGCTAAGACAGAGAAATAGGGTCCTGGGAGGACTCAGGGATGCACAAGGCCCAGAGCCTGGTGTATCCGAGGAATAGTTACTAGCCTCTGAGTGGCCAGAAAAGGGGCTCGTGTAAGGACCATGTTGGAAAAAGAAGCTGGAAAACCATGTGTGTGATGGTTTATTTTATGTGTGAACTTGGCTGCGCCATGGTACCCAGATATTTGATCAAACGTTGTTCTACACGTGTTTTTGTGAAGGTTTGTTTTAGATGAGATGAACATTTAAATCGGTGGACTTTGGGTAGAGCAGCATCGTGGGTGGGTCTCATCCAATCAGTTGAAGGCCTTTACGGCAGTAAGACTGGCCTTCCCGGAGGAAGAGGAAATTCTGCCAGGAGACTGCAACACCGCTTCCTCTCTGGGTCTCAACCTGCTGTCCTGATCTGCAGATTTAGAGCTTGTCAGTCTCTGTGTCCCCATGAGCCAATTCCTTAAAATCTCTCCCTCTCCCTCTCTCTGTCTCTCCTTCTCTTTCCACGCATGCACGCGCGTGCACACACCTCCACCCTCCTGGTTCTGTTTCTCTGGAGAGCTGTGACACAATACTGATCCCCGATTGTGAAGGAAGCTGGCAAGCAAGCTGTTTCGCAGGCAGGAAGAAACTGCCGGAAGTCACTGAGCAGGGGAGTCACGGGTCAGAGCTGTATTAATAAAGGCCCTGTCTGGGCCCAAGTGTAGCTGTTATTCTGGGGTACCCAGAGACCTTAGGGTGCCCCGCCCCTCCCTGGCAGCAGCGGGGTCCTGTCATGTCAGCCATCAGGAAGGAGTTCTTGTCACAGTACCTGAGGCGCTTGGAAAGCTGTTGCTTTCTTTCCATTCCCACAGAATATTCATCAGCAGAAACCGCTGAGACCCTGTCCCGCCCCATCTCTTCTGCTCTCTCCCATCTAGCAGAGGCTTCTGCTCCACCTTGCCTTCCCTGGGTAGCCAGCCACTGCGTTCTGGAAGCTGTGTGAAGGAAGCTTGCATGCGGCTGAGGACCTTTCCCAGGCAGGACGCTGGCCCCGGGCCGCGCCTGTAATCAAAGACGGGTTCACATAGGGTTGTTGAAGCCTGTCTACTTACTGATGGGCCTGAGAAATGAGTGGCCCGCCCCGGGGGAGGCTGGAGGAGCCAGGATATGGTTTATGGACTATAAGCTTTAGCACGGCCCTGCCTAGAGGGTGAGTAAGGGACTGGAACCCGAGGGGGGTGTCAGCAGGGCCAAGGAGAAGCTCACCTCCGTGGAGTGCATCTACGCTACAAGGGCAGGCGGTGCTGAGACTTGAGGCAGCTGGAGTTTGCAGGAGCCCAGAAGTTCAGGGTCACGGGTTCCTCGTTTGGGGCTGCAACTTAATTCCACACCACCCTGGCTCGTGTGGCTAAGGATGCTGATTTTTTCCTGTTGCTCTGAGTTCAGGCTCCGGGGCTAGAGGGGTCCCGTGGGAGATGTGGCTGTGGGAGGCTGGAGAAGGTGAAGGCAGGGGAAGTGAGGCAGGACTCTCAGTCCTGGTATCATGTCGACTTTCTTAAATTAGCGGTGGGGAGAGGAAATAAGAAAGCAGAGCCAGAAAGTCAGCAGTCAGGCTTTTCCACACCATCTGTGATGGGATGCAGAAGGCTGCCAAGATAATCTAGGCGCCAGAGCTAATTGGTGGAACTTGGGAGCAGAAGTCACACGCCATCCCGCGAAACCGAGAGGCTTTCCTTTTCTTGTTTCTGTTTCCTTTCCTTCCTTCCGTCTTCCTTCCTCCCCTCCCCTCCCCTCCCTTTCCCCCTTCCGTGCTTTCTTTTTTAAACACGTAGCGCTGTGGAGCCTCAAAGTAATGACACTGCTAAGCAAAATACAGATCTGAAGATTTGGTATAATAAGAAAGCACGTCCATGAACGAGGGAACCAGGATTAAGCTGAGTCACGTTTGACAGTTTAACTCAAGGCGGTGCTAGTTCAGGGTGTAGGAGTTCGACTTCTAAAAACCTTGCTGCAAATTGGATTCCTAACTTGTGATAGCCTCCTCAGGGATATGGCTTTTCAGAGAAACTAATCACGATTGGACCACTGTACGCATGCTTTAATTTCTTCATTTTATTACTCGTAACGCAGAATAGTTTAACCGTGGCTCCTGTGCGGTCTCGTCCGGCGTGACCAGACATCTGGTGTGGTAAGTGCTCCAAGCGTGGGAAGGGTTAAGGAGTCTTTAGGCGAGTGCTTGAAGGCTTTTGATCCTATCAAGATACTTCGAAGGCCGTAGAGAGGGTTTGCGGTTGTCAGGGGTGGATTATTTCCATCTTTCCCCGAGCGGATGAGGGAAGCAGCCTGTGCAGTTGTACGACCTGAGCTGAGTCGACAGCCAGTGGTTTACAGAGCCAGCCTCTGATTAGGCGTGTGTGAGTCAGAAACCTGTCCTCTTTCTGCCACATCGTCTTCTTCCTGCTGCCTCTTCGCAGGCTAAGGGGCCGGTGGAGTTTGCGGCTGGGACAGTAAGGAAGCGACCCGAATGCCTGCTGGGGGCTCGGGGTTGGGGGTGGGCAGCACGGAGGTGGGGGGCATTGACCCTGATTGGCTTTGAGCACGGTTTCTCATTCCTTCATGCTTCTGCTTCTACGTACTCAGAAGTCTCGGCCGTGAGCCCTGCCCTGGCGACGTTGTGCCCGGGCATGGCATCCCCTGAGTACGGCAGCTGACCTCGAAGCAGGGGCAGCCCGTATGTGTCCTTTCTCTCCCGGTGCCTGTGATCCTGTCTCAGGGCAGCCCGACAGCCCCACCTGATCCCCCGGCGCCACCTCCACGAGTCAGCTTTCGTCATCTTGTGCTTCCATTGGTGCATGCCCAACACAGTGGCCCGCCCGAGGACGCACTGGCTCGTCACGGCGGAGTGGGTGGGCTCACAAGTGTGGCCCCCGCTGCCTGGTCCAGGGGTCTTTCCTCCACCACCCTGGTGCTCAGAGGGGCATCTTCAAGGGGCCTCTCCCGTATCGGCTGTATAAGTACACCTTGCTTTTTTCCCTCTAGTTGATCTGATCCCTTTTTGGCATTCTGCTGAGTGTGATTAAATATGACTCAAGTAGAATCTTTGCCCAGAGAGTAGGAGACGGCTCGTTCCCTCACGGTTGATGCATCAAGTCCGTAACTGGTGTCTGCTTTGGATGCATAGACTCTTGAGACATTAAAAATGAACAAAGCCCATCGTTTCCTGTGACATGAAGACACAGCCAGTACTGTGTTCCTATTTGTGGTCAAATGGGATAAGTCCCGGGCTGAGAGCCGGGAAACCTAGATTCAAGTTCTAGCTTCTTGACCTTAGATGGGTCCCGTAACTTGGTTATCCTCAGTTTCTCCCTGTGCACACTGGAGATGCCTAGTGGAGACTCCTGGCAGGCGGCTGTGAGAATTCAAATAAGGTCATTCTTTGAAAGAGCTCTTCACTCTACAAAAGCTCAGACAGATGTCAGGCACGGAAGGTTAAAAAATATTCCACATGGTTTCTCCTCCAGGATCTGCAGCCTGGAAGCTCAGTCCCTTTCATGCTGGCAGTGAGAACTTGTCGCTTGTACACTACACCAGGCCCCCAAATGTGACCTGAAAGTTTGCACACTCTCACCACACCCCCACCTCCATGAGAATCACCAACAAAAGCGAAAAGGCTGATAGAATTGTGTTTCATTTCAAATGGTATAAAGGAAGGAAAAAAATGCCTGCCTGCCTTAACACACTATTTTAAGCACACTTTTCCTTCCTTCTTCCTTCCTTCCTTCCTTCCTCCTTTCTTCCTTCTTCCACCATCCATCCATCCATCCATCCATGCTATTCCTTCCTCCCATCCATCCATCCATCCATCCATCCATCCATCGACTTTCATGGACCACCTGTTAGGCCAAAGTAAGCACACAGGGATATACAATTTATGAAGAGACAGTTTCTGTCTTAGTTGCTTGGTATAGTGAGGGACAAATGAGTAATCAAAAAACTAAAATGCTATATGACCAAGTTCTGTAAGTGATCAGGTCTTCTCTCTGTCTCCCTCCCTCCCATCTCCCTTCTTTCCATCCTTTTATTCTTTGCATAGAACAGTGTGCTCCGGGGGAGTCTAGAGTCTCTTTTTTTCATTTTCTAAACAACAACAACAACAACAACAACAACAACAACAACAACACCTATATGTGAAGGAGCTTTGAAGCCTGTACTGTTTCTTTTTCTCCACAGAGAGAAGACAGACTTCTTCATTATGTGCAGAATAACACTTTAATGGACTTTTTCTTTATGAAACTCCTAAATCCCAGATCATCTTCTGGAATAAAGAATCTAAATGTTTTCCATAATTAAAATGTCTTCACTGAGGGCAGAATTGCAAATCTCAGATGATTTCCTTCTAGAAACAACTTTTTTCCGCCCTTCTGTGGAAGCCTCAGAAAAGACCCATTTGGACTCCAAGTTGGGAAGACATGGCCCTTTGGAAGCTGGGTTGGCCTTTTCATCATGACCATGGGATAGGGCCTACGGAGAACGGTGTCCAATGGAAACCCGAGGAAGTCTTGGTGCATTGGCTCCAAGAGCAGCCGAAGCTTCTGTTATCCCCACGCTTTCACCAAAACCTTGTTAATTATTATAATCTATATTTAGCATTAAGGGATGGTCCAGGGTTCAAGCTTGAGCAGAGCAGTTCTGGAAACAACAGAAACCCCGGAAAAGCCAGAGTCCAGTCCATGCGGGTGACTGGACGTGGGCCGGAGGAGCAGACAAGAGCCAGACGGTGTCATTTGGGGCGTCATAGAATACAGGCCTTGGACCACTGTCTTCAAGGTGTTACTGAGCATGTGACTCATGTAGGCTAGAGGGGTCTGGGGCACTTGGGTGTCAGGCAAATTTACTTAGCAATTCCTTATGCTTTTATATGCATGGCATCCCACCCTGGAGTCACTGGCTCAAATTCTTGGCTAAAGGACACACAGAACACTCTTCTTATTACTCTGATTTCCCTCTCCCCAGCCAGGTTGAACCTCCCTGCAGGCACCTGTCGCCTAACACGGTTTCCATAAATACCTCTTGAAGAGCAGCCCACGGCCTCGAGTCCTGTAACCCCTTTTCCACAAAGCCTTTTGGAGGCACAACAGAACTGTGGCTTAGAAACTTGGGATCATAAAGCCAGAAAATGCTAGATTCAACCCATCAGGAATAGCTTGCTCGTCGCCAGGTCTAACCCCCTGAGGATCCACTTGTTCCTTGTTTTTCTTTTCTTTTTTTCTATTTTTTTTTAACGCTTTATTTATTATTGAGAGACAGAGAGACACAGAACGTGAGCAGGGGAGGGGCAGAGGGAGAGGGAGACACAGAACCCGAAGCAGGCTCCAGGCTCTGAGCTGTCAGTATAGAGCCTGACGTGGGGCTCGAACTCACAAACTGCGAGATCATGACCTGAGCCGAAGTGGGTCGCTTAACCGAGAACGACTTTCCGGCTCCTTGCGATCACCGATGTTGCCATCCGGCACCACCCAGCAGAAGAGGGGGGGAGGCTTGGTGCAAAGCCCTATGTCTTCTTGATCCTAAGGCCTCCAACTGGTCCACATCTAGAGATTCCAAAGAGGCAGCGGTGTGGGGGTCCCTGTTGTGATGTCCTGTATGGAGACTAGGACAGGCTGGCCTCATACCTCCAGAAAGAGAGAATTTTTCTTTTTCTTTTCTTTTCTTTTCTTTTCTTTTCTTTTCTTTTCTTTTCTTTTCTTTTCTCTTTTCTTTTTTAAAAATCCCAGTTCCTTATTCCTGGAGCCTAAATAGTTCATCATTTTCTTGCTGTCTTTTTGCCCTCCTGCAGTGGGTTGAACGATGTTCTTCCCTAACCGG